CATACAGAAAAAAATTGTGAAAAATCTAGAGCTCATAATCCATTAATTTTCAATTACAATAATTTCTAATACCAAACCAATAATCGAAAACCTAAATTCGAAAATTGTACCCAAAAAAGGAAAAAAAATATTACTTCTATCAGAAATCCCAAATATTCTCAGCCAGACCATTAATTGCATGACCATATGAACACAACTTCATGAGTCAGTGACAAAGAAGATAAAGGAAAAACTTATCACCGAGAAAGGAAGAAAAATGTTAATATATCACCTAAGCCATGGCTCGAACGGATGGAAAATCGGCATCCAGTTTTGCACGGATGGAAATGGGCATATATGGTATTGAGGAGGCCGTCGTCAGTTGGGTTGTTGTTGGCAACGATGATGTTAATGGGTGGTGAGAAACCACGAAGAAGCTTTCGAAAGCGGCAAAGGAGGTCCGATGAAAGGTACCGAGGGTTTCGGTTGATAGAGGGAGAAAATGAAAAGGGTCAGAGAGAGAAATGTCGAGAGAGAGAAATTAAGAGAAGAATGGAGGAGTATGGGAGTTGGCGTGTAAAAATGGAGAGAGAAAGCTGAGAGAAGTAAAAAAGGAGCCAGGACGTACGGAGAGAAAAATGGCAGGAAAAAATTGGCTGGGCTCGGCTTATATGACTCGACTCGAAAATGGCTCGACTGGACTGGCCAAATGGCTTATGAACAGTGGCAAAAAACCTCTTCTTTTATATATTGTTAAGGATATTGGGTTTTAATTGAATAAAGATCGGGAAAAAATCGTATTTGCACAAGAATTATAAACTATTTCATACAATACCAAAGATATTTCGAAATTTAAAAAATACTATACATTCCATAAAATATCATCAAAACTACTGCCATACAAACTTTCCTAAATAATTGCAATGTAACTGAAATTATGAATGGGCTGATTATAAGGATCCCTGCTTCCGGCAAGGATATTCAGAAGTGGAAATTAAATAGAACCAGATATTTTAAGTTGCATTTTCAAAAATCAGATTTTAATTTTGTTTATAGAAAAATCAGATGAAAATTTAATATTAATAATACTTTTATAAAATTAAATTACTTTACATACCCGCCACCCCTAATTTCATCCCCAAACCCTAAATTAATTTTCAATCTCTACTCTGTCTCTTCCATCTCTACTCCATTCCACCCTTCTCCCCTTATCTACTCTCCCTCCTCCCATTCCGTCATCGGTCCGGCGATGCATTGCCCCGCACAGCAGATTGTCACAGTCGTTGCGAGCGTCGTGGTACCTCTTCTGCTGAGTGCGTCGCGCGGCACCGCGATCAATGTGGAGAGATTGAAGAGGCATCGTCTCAAAGCAGTTATTATCAACAGCGGCATGACTTAACCCACCGACGTCACTCGACACAGCTTCAATCTTCGTGTTGCAGAATGCGATGCTTTTCTGAAAAATTATATATTTTGAATTGTGACCGTAAAATAATTTATGAAATATAAAATTTTTGATTTGTGACCGATGAACAAATTGTGATATATAAATTTTTTGAATTGTGATCGTAAAATAGTTTTTGACATTTCAATTTTTAATTTGTGACCGATGAACAAATTGTAATCTATATATTTTTTGAATTGTGGCCATAAAATAATTTGTGACATGTAAAATTTGTGATTTGAAACAAATTAATAATAGTTGACCCGTTATATAGAATTTGTGACCACATTACATGGAATTGTGACCTTAATATATTTAATTAATAAAATATATGTTTAATTAATTCATGACTAAAATTTAAAAATATCTTAAATTTGAAATTTTAAACTTAAGTTCTTAAATTTGAAATTGGTAAAACTAAATCTCTTAGTTATGTATTGTTCCCTATTCAAAATTAATTATGAATGGGCTGAAATTGTGAATGGGCTGATTAAGGAAAGCATTTACAACCCTGATTCACAGAATGCTATATGCTATATTTTCTTAGAATTGGATCTATTTATTGTGTTATTTTTTGCAGAAAAAAGATAATTCTTCCAATCAATCTCGTAAGTTTTTATTGTGGTTAACATCACTGAATATTATAATATGGAATGATTATGTTAGGAAAACCAACAGTTTTCTAAATTATTTAGGAGGTTAGGAAAATCAATGATTTTTTCTATTTAATGGCAACAAATTTAATTCACTTTTATTAGCTATTTAACAAACATGGGTTAATTGATACCAATATTTTTATAATTAGGGGGATTATGTGAACTCTAATTGAGCAATTTATAAAGATATTTTTGGTTAAGATCCCTAACATACCAAATTATGCATAGTTTACTTTCTCCCCATCTGGTAAAGAAACGACGGTCCCTGATAAGTACGTTTTTACATACTTATTTTACTGTCAAAACTTGAGCAATTGTTGATTAATATGTTGGAATATAGTTTAGTTCTATGTAATTCATGTTTTGCTAGACAAGTGATGAATGTAGCGGAAATAAGGAGAAACACGTGAAACATGGCCAAAATGTAAGAAAGTGAAAGTTCAGGGACTAAAGTGAAAATACTCAAAAATTATGTCGGGGATCACGATGAAGGTTCGAGAGTGCTAAGGGTCGATTGGAAGCAATTAGAAGTCAAAATGGAATATTATTAAAATCAATTTCCAATTCGCACAAAATATATTTCAGATTTTTAGGTGAAGATTGAGACCCATTTTTGACATAGTANAAAAATGACCAGAATGGAAGAAAGTAAAAGTTCATGGACTAAAGTGCAAATATTCAAAAATTATGTCGGGGCTCACGATGAAGGTTCGAGAGTGCTAAGGGTCGATTGGAAGCAATTAGAAGTCAAAAAGAAATGGAATATTATCAAAATCAATTTCCAATTCGCACAAGATATGTTCCAAATTTTTAGCCGAAAATTGAGATCCTTTTTTGGCATAGTAAAAGTCCAAATTGGAAAAGAGCTATTTATAACAAAGTTTTATCTCTTTGAGTTATCTTTTTAATGCATTTTGAATCATCTAAATCAGATATCGGAAGAGAAAGTTATAACTAAATTACTGACTGCTGTGCAGAGACAAAATATCCGCGGGCGAAAACAACTTTCCTTATTCGATTAGAACTTTTTTGGAAACCAATTTGGATGTGATTTTCATACAATTTCCTACTATTACAAATACTTAATAGCATAAGACATATGGAGGAGGTCCTCATACACCATTCTTTTCCTATTTGGCTCAAGAAAAGAGATGCAGAAGATTCCATATGAGTTAGTAGTAGGAAGTCTAATGTAAGCTCTAGTATGTACTCGTCCCGACATAGCATTTATAGTGAG